GATATCTTTTGTATACCAATTTCCAAGGCTAATTCAAGGAAGGTCTGTTTCCAATCTCAGATAGGATTCAAATTCGTAGCTAGCATTAGATTTTTGAAGACGTGCCCTTGACAGTAACGGTGTGATTGGATATGCTTTCATTTGAAAATGTTTTCTCTGTAGTGAAAAAATATTTGGTGGAGAAGTAATTACTTTTATAATGTAAATTGATGTAAGATAAAAGTAATAATTAAAGGTGATGTGATTGAGAAACAGTAAAATAATTATTGGTAGTTAGAAATGTGTAAGTGGATGAATAATTTTATAGAGGTGTGTTGCAATTATTGATTTGTACTTTAAAAAAAAATGTAATGATAAAATTGAGGAGAGAAAATGTGAAATGGGTGATTAGTGTATATTTTGCTAGTGGATGAAAAATGCGATATTCAATTGCACCCTTAAATCATTACTGTAGCCCTTCTCAGGATCTAAATATATTGGTTTTTAGATGCATAAATAGCTTAGTTTTTTTTATGTATATCAATACCATGGAAAACTTTCAACCATAGAACTCGGCATTTTTTTTATTTTTTTTTTGCAATGCTCGTTAAACTTGTGCAACTTTGTTATCAGGAAGATGTTATTACTAAGTTGGTAGAATTTTTGGTGGAGCCTCATGCCACTACATCTGAATTACTCGCTGAAAAGGAGCAGGTAAAATATGGAGTAATTTTGGAAATGTCTTTCTGGCTCTTGTAATTTTGTGGCACTGATTTTTTTACATTTATCATGCATATAACCAGTCGAGTAAGGGCAAAAAGAGAAAGAGGGTGAGCAAATCCGCATCTGGGACAGGGAGTAATACACCGTCAAAAGGCTCAGCTAAGGTAGCACCTTTTAGATTCTGGTGTTTATTCCTTCATTATATGCTCTGGAGGTGAATTTGTTCAAATATAGCTTGAATTTATCTGTATCTCTTTTTGAACAGGATATAATTATGACATTGTCGTGCTGTTTTTAGCTATTGATTAATAGGTCGGATTGTTTTAAAAAGGTCCTGGCACGTTCTGGTTGTATTTAGCATCATTCCTCTTGAAGAAACAAGAAAAGTAACCTGACCGAACGCGAAAAACTATGTGTATTTTTCTTTTAGTTTGTAAACTGCTGCTTAGCCGTGAAATTAGATTGAAGACTATTATAAATTTATTCTTGAACTGTCTTTGTAGAAAAAACTCTGCTTGTGGTATTGTTTACCAACATTATGTCTTGCATTCTCAGAGTCAAAAGATAACTGGGGAAAATTCTACAAAGATTGTGGACCCGAAAGGCAGGCCTTCTGAGTCTGAAGATGAATCAGGAGAAGAGGAAGAAGCCCATGAAGAAGAGGATGGTGCAAATCGTACTGGAGAAAGATCAGATGATGAAATGTCTGAACAAGCTGAAGCTGGAGAAAGTGAATCCGAAGATAAGTCGGATGAGGACAAGGGAAAGAAGCTAGTTTCAGCAAAGTCTTCTGGAAAGAAAAAGTCTGATAGCAAAGCCAGAACAAAGAAAGAAACCGTTTTGAAAAAGGTCAGCCCTCCACCCAAAAAGACACCTGCAAAATCAGCACCCAGCCAATCAGAAAAGAACAGAGATACAAGTGAAAAAAAGTCTTCTGGTAAGAAGAAAGACGAATCGTTCGTTAAGTTACCAAGCCGAGCAGAAAAGAATAAAGATGCAAGTACAAAAAAATCTTCTGGTAAGAAGAAAGGCGAATCGTTTGATAAGTCACCGTCTGGGAAGAAGACAGATTCAAAAGAAAGCACTGGTGAGAATCTTAGTTATTCCTGTGCTTTTGAATTGGTGCATATTATTATCAAGGTTCTAAAAGGCGCTAGGCAGCGAGCTGGGGCCTAGGCGGGGTTTTAAAAATACTAATAAATTTATTTATATTTAAAATCATGCATAGCTTACAAACTATATTTTATAAAATATACTAATTAGTATGGTTAAATACAATTTTAAAAGAGAAAATATTATATACTTATAATGATTAAATTATTTTACATAATTATTATTTTTTTTTTATTTTACATTTTTAATACCATTCATGTATAAGAAAATATTTTTGATATATTTTGAATATATATATACGGGCGTCTAACTAACTTTGCAACCGCCTAGGCGCCGCCTAATTGCCCGAGCGCCTAGAAGGGCCGCCTAGACAAAAATGGGGATGCCCGGGTGCCGCCTAGTGCCTAGGTAGGGGCCTAGCCCGACTTTTAGTATAGTGATTGTAATAATTAGGTTCTTTTTATACCATTTTGTACTTTAAATTGACAATTTAGGTGAAGTCTTTTTGTTATGTGTTAAACTGCAGGGAATAAAATTCTTAAAGTGAAGGATAAGCTCAAGGAGCAGAAATCAGAGCCAACTGATGCCGAACTCACTGGTGCTATCTGTGAAATCCTTAAAGTGGTCGATTTCAATACGGTTAGCTTCTAAAACTATCTTCAGTGTTACTGGATTGTTGAGGTGAGGTAAGGAGGAATTATTGGGTGTCTTTAAATGCTCTCCTAATTGGTCCATTGAGCCCAGAAGCTGGAAAACCTTCAGTAAAGAGCAACTACTTTTGGGAAATTTGTTGTATAACTTCTGCTGGGGTGCCCTTTTGATGCCCCATCTGATGACTGGAATTCTTTGCATTAGGGTTCGAGTCTGAAGTTGTTGAAATTGGTTCATGTTGTTTACTTAATGCATAGATTCTTCATTTTTCATCTCCCTTCTAAAAGGATGCTTTTATTATTGCAGGCTACATTCACCGACATTCTTAAGCAACTCAGTAAGTTGGCATATGATTTTTATTTTCTGATGAAAATCTAATTATGAAAATTAATGTGATATACAAAATATTAAGACATGAATTATAATTGATTGGTAGCTAGAAGTCTGTGAATGCATGAGTAACGAAATACCAAAACCTGTAAATGATTTGTTGTTTCATGCAAGTCTCTAGTACATGTGATGTTGGGAGAAAAAGTAATGTATTTATGGCGAACTTTTGTAGTCGGAGTACAGTAATTTCTCCAGTGAATCGAAAATAAAAAGGAAAATACTATTGATCTACTTCATTTTCCATATTTACTTGCGTTGTTACCAATTCTCATTTGCCAATCTACTTACTTCATTAGCCAAGAAATTCAAGACGGATTTGGTGCCAAGAAAACAAGCAATAAAGCTTATGATTCAGAAAGAGCTGACAAAGCTTGCTGAGGCCGATGAGGATGATGATGAGGATGAATGTGATGATGATGGTGACAATAACAAAAAGAAGCCGTCGCCCCATGTTGTAAAGGCCTGAACAGCTCCTTTTGTGTACACTATCTACATCCTATTTACTACCTTCCTGTAACTTATAGTGGCGTCTTAGCTAGCTTGTAGCATTAGTCGACCTCTTGAGGCTAGCTGTGTATTTTTAAGTGTTGGTAGCTTTCTCCCCGACTTTTGCTGTCTTAGTTTATCCATAATGTAGTTCTGCCGCTTGATATTTTGTAGTTCTACTGCTTGATTTTGGGCCTGAGCTTAATGTCTGACTGTTGGGGCTGCTTGTTTATGAATGACTGCGGCATGATTTTATTGTTCACATGTTTCCTATGTAATTTGGGTAAATTATTTATGTAACTTTGAATGGAAATAATCGGAATATATATTTTATGCGCTTTGTTGAATATTGATTGACATGAAACAGTTGGGACAACAATTTTGTATATATTTTATGCGCTTTGTTGAATATTGATTGACATGAAACAGTTGGGACAACAATTTTGTATATATTTGTGATTTATTATAATTTTATTTTATTTTTTTTTTTCTTACTACATCTCATCCATGTACTTTTCTGAAAAAAATTA